AAAAAAAAAAAAAAAATATATATATATATATATATATATATATATATCTCTCTCTCCAAATTTTGGGTTATATGCACCTTTTTATGTGTCTTTTGAGTAGAATCACTTTAGAAAGATACACAATCAGGAAACTAAATAAAAGTCATTGACCAATGGAATAATAATTGGAATAGGGAAGAAATATATCTAGTTTTCCCGTGGTATTATAAGAGTAGATTTACTGATATTGTAGAATAATTTTTTAACTTATTTTTTATGAGTAGATTTATTGATATTGTAGAATAATTTCTTTTTAACTAATTTTTTTTGAGACAGCCTCTCACTCTGTCACCCAGGCTGGAGTGCAGTGGTGCAGCCTCAGCTCCCGGTTCAAGCAATTCTCCTGCCTCAGCCTCCTGAGTATCTGGCATAACAGGCACCACCACACCCTGTTGATTTTTGTATTTTTAGTGGAGACGGGGTTTCACCATGTTGGCCAGGCTGGTCTTGAACTCCTGGCCTCATGTGATCCACCCACTTCGGCCTCCCAAAGTGTTGGGATTACAGGCATGAACCACCATACCCAGCCTAGAATAATTTTCTATTTATTTATGAAAGTTTGGTGGTTTAAGGCCAAATATTCATCATCACCATATATGAACTTTTCCATTAGGGTAGTAAGAAACTTATGAGACTGGTACAGCAAGTAAATATTTATGATTTTTATTAATATGCCCTTAAAGTCCAGAACTAAAATATTATTACATAGAACTCTTCTTTCGGGTATATCCACAACTCTTTGAATATGTCCATATAGATAAAAGTAATTATGTAAAATTATTTATTAGAAAAATCAACAGGCTGGGCGCAGTGGCTCAGACCTACAATCCCAACACTTTGGAAGGCTGAGGTGGGGGAATCACTTGCTTCCAATAGTTGGAGACCAGCCGGGGCAACATAGTGAGACTTCATCTCTACAAAACATTTTTTAAAAAGTAGCTGGGCATGGTGGCACATGCCTGTGTCCTAGCTACTCGAGAAGCTAAGATGGGAGGATTGTCTGAGCCCAGGAAGTTGAGGCTGCAGTGAGCTATGATCACTCCACTGCACTCCAGCCTGGATGACAGAGTAAGACTGTCTCAAAACAAAACAAAAAACCCCACCTAGCCAAGCATAGTGGCTCATGCCTGTAGTCCTAGCTACGTGGGAGGTGAAGGCAGGAGGATCACTTGAACATGGGAGGTCAAGGTTGCAAGGAGCCGTGATTGCTGCACTGCGCTCTAGCCTCGGCAGCAGAGTGAGACTCTGTCTTAAAAAAAAAAAAAAAAAAAAAAATGGCCTGGCATGGTGGCTCACGCCTATAATCCCAGCACTTTGGGAGGCCGAGGCGGGTGGATCACAAGGTCAGGAGATCGAGACCATCCTGGCTAACACGGTAAAGCCCCGTCTCTACTAAAAAAAATACAAAAAATTAGCTGGGCATGGTGGCGGCGCTTGTAGTCCCAGCTACTCGGGAGGCTGAGGCAGGAGAATGGCGTGAACCTGGGAGGCAGAGCTTGCAGTGAGCTGAGATCCGGCCACTGCGCTCCAGCCTGGGCGACAGAGCGAGACTCCGTCTCAAAAAAGAAAAGAAAGGAAAGAAGCCGGGCGCGGTGGCTCAAGCCTGTAATCCCAGCACTTTGGGAGGCCGAGACGGGCGGATCACGAGGTCAGGAGATCGAGACCATCCTGGCTAACCCGGTGAAACCCCGTCTCTACAAAAAAATACAAAAAACTAGCCGGGCGAGGTGGCGGGCGCCTGTAGTCCCAGCTACTCGGGAGGCTGAGGCAGGAGAATGGCGTAAACCCGGGAGGCGGAGCTTGCAGTGAGCTGAGATCGCGCCACTGCACTCCAGCCTGGGCGACAGAGCGAGACTCTGTCTCAAAAAAAAAAAAAAAAGAAAGGAAAGAAAAATCAACAGGAGTTATCAGCTAATGGGATTAGTTTTATGCCTTATTTTGTGCTTGATGATGTACACTAAAAATGTAATTAATTTAGAACAACTTGGATGAACATAGTTTATTCTGATTTTTGCATGGCCAGTATTCTTCAAGGGATGTATAGAATTTAAATGTAACTATAATTTCTGAAAAATGTTGTTTATATTTCTGAGTTAATCAAATTAATAGCTTATTTTATCATAAAGTTCTCTCTCATAATGTCTGTTATGCTTTTTCTATTGTTGAAGAACAATTTCTGTGAGGGAAGTATCTCGGCTTCTCCCTTGAATTCCAGAAAATCTGATCCAGTTACACCCAAGTCTGAAAAGAAAAGTAAGAACAAACAAAGAAACACTGGAAATATTCAGAAGTAAGTGAGCGTGGCTATGAATTATTTATTGACCTCCTACTATATGCCAGCGTTTTCTGTTCATATAGACTACTGATTCTCAAAGTTGGTCCATGAACTTTGTATGAAGATAGTCTGAGGTTGAGGTAGAGTGAAAAGGGGAGAGCTACTCACACAGCTTCCTCGTGGCTAGCACGAAGAGAGAGGTGAAATGTGGCAGGCTTTTCACTCAGCCAGTTGTTGTGCAGATTTATACTTTATCTTACTGGCTCAGGATATCCACTTTTCTCAAAGTGAACCGTCGGATTCCTCTTCCTCTTGGTTTAAATTCAGATGAATAAAACTGGTCCCTGATAGGCTTATCTTCATTGAAGGAGTTTACAATTTGTCTTCGTATTTCTTCTCTGTTACACCGAATGCATAAGCCAGGTCGTCCCGGGTGGCGAGACTGAGCTTCACCACAGCACCCTCCAGGGTCAGGCATGAGCCAGGTCATCCCGGGTGGCGAGACTGAGCTTCACCACAGCACCCTCCAGGGTCAGGCATGAGCCAGGTCGTCCCGGGTGGCGAGACTGAGCTTCACCACAGCACCCTCCAGGGTCAGGTACTCGGTGGTGTTGGCGGCTTTGTGCAAACATCAGCTTCCCCGTGTGATTCATAGTTGGAAAAGTTTAAAAACCACCATGTAGACTTGAAAAGCATGTAAGGACTTCTGGTTTAACTGAGGAAGTATGTGCAGGTAACTCACCGCCTTCCAAGATTTGTTGGAATTTTGGATTTGGGGTGGGAGGAAGCTTAGGAGAAGGGAATGTTAAATGAGGGAGGTACTATTTAAAAAAAAAAAGTGATAATATCAGGGTCGCCAGTTCTCATGATGTGCAAAGTGAAAATGAAGAGAAAACCACTAAAATGCAGAGGTATTTCATATGGATACAATATTCTGCTTAAGGCTGTATAACTCATGAATCTTTATGTATCTAAATATATACTTTGAAATACTTGAAAATAAAAAATTACCAGAAATACAAGAAAAAACTAAGGATTTAAAAGCAAAAATTGAGAAACTGACGGATTAAAGTTGTAACAATATTTAAAACAGATAAAGTCTGTTTCCTAGAATATATGAAAACTCTTCTAACTCAACAACAGAAGACAAATAATTAAAAACTGGACAAAGGGACTTGAGTAGATGTTTTTCCCATGATGTACAAATGGCCAATAAGTACACGAAGATATGTTTAACATCATTAGTTATTAGGGAAATGCATATCAAAACCACGGTGAGATAGCATTTCATACCCATTAGAATGTCTATAATCCACAAAAAGGGAAAAGAGTAAGTGTGGACAAAGATGTGGAGAAACTGGAATCCTTGCGCATTGCTTGGTAGGAATGTAAAGTGGTGTCGTGGCTGCAGAAAGCAGTTGGTGATTCCTCAAAAAGTTAAACAGAATTAGCACATGACCCAGCAATTCCACTCCTAGATATGTACCCAAAAGAACTGAAAGCAGATATTCAAACAAATGCTAGTACATGAATATTTGTGTCAACATTATTCAAATAACCAAAAGGTAGAACAACCCAAATGTCCATTAACAAATGCATGGGTAAACAAAATGTGGCGTTCCATTTTATGTGAATCCCACCGCAATTCAAAAGTTTAAAAATGAATAACAGGGGCCAGGTGTGGTGGCTCACGCCTGTAATCGCAGCACTTTGGGAGGCCGAGGCGGGTGGATCATGAGGTCAGGAGATCGACATCCTGGCTAACACAGTGAAACCCCGTCTCTACTAAAAATACAAAAAAAAAAAAATTAGCCGGGCATGGTGGCGGGCGCCTGTAGTCCCAGCTACTCGGGAGGCTGAGGCAGGAGAATGGCATGAACCCGGGAGGCGGAGCTTGCAGTGAGTTGAGATCCGGCCACTGCACTCCAGCCTGGGCGACAGAGCGAGACTCCGTCTCAAAAAAAAAAAAAAAAAAGAATAATAGGATTATATAGTTTTAAAATTAAGAAAAATTTCTAAACAACTTGTTGATTGAAGAGTAAATTTTGTTGGAAATACAGAACTGAAAATATGCGTGAAAACTGGTATGTGGCTACAGTAGTATTTAGAAGGCTTTACATGCCATATCAGAAAAGAAGAAAGGGCAGCCAGGTGTTGTGGCACGTACCTGTAGTCCCAGCTACTTGGGAGGCTGAGGCAGGAGGATTGCTTAAGCCCAGGGAATTTGACTTTGGGACCAGCTTGGACAACATAGCAAGATCCTGTATCTTTAAAAAAAAAAAAAAAAGAAAGAAAGAAGCCGGGCACAGTACCTCATGCCTATAATCCCAGCACTTTGGGAGGCTGACGTCTGAGGTGGTAGGATTGCTTGACGCCAGGAGTTCAAGACCAGACTGGGCAACATAGTAAGACACCGTCTCTACACAAAATTAAAAAATTAGCCAAACGCAGTGGCACATGCCTATAACCCCAGCCACTTGGGAGGCTGAGGTGGGAGAATTGCTTGAGCCCAGGAGGTCGAAGCTGCAGTGAGCTAGGATCATGTCTCAAAAAAGAGAACAGCAGCTGAAAATGTGTTTAAAAAGACAATTCCAGGAATACATTGCTGGTTTAATGGTAGAAAATGAATCAATGCAAGTTATTCCATTAGCTGTATGAATATGAAATACATGAGATGATAATTCTTTTTTTTTTTTTTTTTTGAGACAGAGTCTTGCTCTGTCGCCCAGGCTGGAGTGCAGTGGCACAGTCTTGGCTCACTGCAAGCTCTGCCTCCCGGGTTCACGCCATTCTCCTGCCTCAGCCTCCCGTGTAGCTGGGACTATAGACGCCTGCCACCGCACCCGGCTAATTTTTTGTATTTTTAGTAGAGATGGGGTTTCACCATGTTAGCCAGGATGGTCTCGATCTCCTGACCTCGTGATCCTCCCGTCTCGGCCTCCCAAAGTGCTGGGATTACAGGCGTGAGCCACCGCGCCCGGCCGAGATGATAATTCTTAATGAAGTGGTAACGGAAACTTTCTTAACTTGTTGAAGGATATCTACCAAAATCTTCCATCACACATCATACTTAATAGTGGAACATGGAAATTATTTCCTTCTTTTTTTTTTTTTTGAGACAGAGTCTTGCGTGCTCTATCACCCAGGCTGGAGTGCAGTGGTGTGATCATGGCCCACTGCAACCTCAAACTCCTGGGTACAAGCGATCCTCCTGCCTGGGCCTCCCAAAGTGCCTGGATTACAGGAGTGAACCACCACGCCCAGCCATTCCCCTTTTAAGGTCAGGAAAACACAAAGGTGGCCTGCTACTCTCCACCTGTTTTCAGACTCATGTTAAGAGATTTTAGTCTGCACAGTAACACAATAAAAGGAGATAAAACATACGAGTCTGGAAAGGAGGGGAAAAGCAGCTATCATTCTTCAGAGGCGGTGTAACCATCTATGTAGAAAACCCAAAAAGTCAGAGGTGCATTTTTAGAATGAAGAGTTTAGCAAGGTTGCCAGATATAAAATCTATACAAAAAGTCAGTTGTAAAATGTAACTTTAAAAATACTCTGTCGATAGTAGTATCAGAAAATAAAAGTACTTAGAAATAAATGTATTAAAATCTGAGCCAAGCATGATGGCTCATGCCTGTAATCCCAGCACTTCGGGAGACTGGGCGAGAGGATTGCTTGGGCCCAGGAGTTCAAGACGAACCTGGGCACCAGAGGGAGACCCCATCTCTTAAAAAATTTTTAAAAATTAACCAGGCATGATGACACACCTGTCATCCCAGCTACTCAGACGGCTGAGGCAGGAGATCACTTGAGCCTGGGAGGTTGTGGCTGTAGTGAGCTATGATTTTACCACTGCACTCCAGCCTGGGCAACAGACAAGACCATGTCTCAAAAAACTAAAAATCTGTAAGACCCATGGAGAACATTGTACTATATTAAATATACAATATTCATGGGTTAGAAGATGATGCCTAATACTACAAAATGGTTGGATCTCCTCAAACTGATCGATAGAGTTAGTGCAATTCGAGTCAGAATTCCAACTTTTCAAATTTTCTTTTTTTTTTTTTTTGAGACAGAATCTCGCTCAGAATCATACAGTGCTAATCAGTAAAGTGTTTAGAGATGCAAAAGTGTGGTAAATCTGTTTTAAAAAGTAAGATATAAGAAACTCGGGATAGTGTGAGGTGGGAGATGAGGAGGCCCCATAGGAGACTTTAGAGCCAATGATTTCTTTTCCCTTCAACCATGTAATAAGCATATAGGCTTTCGTGGTGATCGAAATGTTTAAATTTTTTAGAAGAACAACATGTTTTTTGTTTTGTTTTGTTTTGTTTTGTTTTTAATGGACCACAGAGCAGCAAACACATATTTTAAAGTACACCAGTCTTCAGCACCATAAGACAGGGTAAAAAAGAAAAAGTAAAACAGTTTAAATTTAAAAAGACGGTGCACCAATCCTAAGTATAGTTTCTGGTGAATTTTTGTGTATGTATAAACCACCCTCCAGATGAAGACAGGGAATATTTACAAAGCTTTGCTCGTGCCCTTTCCCTTTCCAGTCAGTGTCCCCCTCCCCATCCGTGCTGTACTGTGATTCTTACATATGTTATATGACTGTTCTCTCATAAACTATTTGTTTTCATAAGGCAGACTTGGAAAGATCTTAAGACATTAGTGAAAAAAGCAAATCACGGGCTGGGTGCAGTAGCTCACGCATGTAATCCTAGCACTTTGGGAGACTGAGGCAGGCGGATCACTTGAGGTCAGGAGTTCAAAACCAGCCTGGCCAACATGGTAAAACCCCGTCTCTACTAAAAATACAAAAAAATTAGCCAGGCGTGGTGGCGGGCACCTGTAATCCCAGCTACTGGGGAGGCTGAGCCAGGAGAATTGCTTGAGCCCAGGAGGCGGAGGTTGCATGAGCCAAAGTCACACCACTGCACTCCATCCCGGGCGACGGAGCGAGCCTCCATCTCAAAAAAAAAAGAGTGAGGCTGGGTGTGCTGGCTCATACGTGCAATCCCAGCACTTCGGGAGGCCAAGGCAGGTGGATCACTTGAGCCCAGGAGTTTGAGACCAGCCTGGGCAACATGTGGAAACCCTGCCTCTACAAAAAATAACAAGAATTAGCCGGGCGTGGCATGCCTGTGGTCTCAGCTGTTTGGGAGGCTGAGGTGGCAGGATCACTTGAGCCTGGGAGGTCAAGGCTGCAGTGAACTGTGATGGTGCTACCATACTTACGCCTTGGTGACAGAGCGAGACCCTGCCTTACAGGTGCGGTGGCTCACGCCTGTAATCCCAGCTCTTTGGGAGGTCGAGGCAGGTGGATCACCTGAGGTCAGGAGTTCAAGACCAGCCTGGCCAACATGGCGAAACCCCATCTCTACTAAAAATACAAAAATTAGCCAGGCATGGTGGCGAGTGCCGGTAATCCCAGCTACTCAGGAGGCTGAGGCAGAGAGAATTGCTTAAAACCCAGTGAGCTGAGATTGCACCACTGCACTCTAGCCTGGGCAATAGAGTGAGACTCTGTCTCAAAAAATAAATAAATAAAACAATGGCCAGGTGCGGTGGCTCATGCCTGTAATCGCAACACTTTGGGGAGCCTAGGTGGGTGGATCACCTGAGGTCAGGAGTTCGAGACCAGCCTGTCTCTACTAAAAATACAAAAATTCGCTGGTGGTGCATGCCTATAATCCCACCTACTTGGGAGGCTGAGGCAGGAGAGTTGCTTAAACCCAGGAGGCGCATGCCATTGTACTGCAGCCTGGGCGACAGAGCGAGACTGTGTCCCCCCAAAAATAAAATAAATAAAAAAGATAGTGTGTATTTCATAGAAGTCATATTTTTTAAAAAATTGATTACATATGTTAAAAGGAAAACCTTACACAAATTAACAGTTTAATTGAGCAAAGGACAATTAACAAATTGGGCAGCCTCTCGAGCCACAGTAGGCTTAGAGAGACTCCAGTGGGGCCACATGTTGCAGGAAGGTTTACGGACAGAAAAAGGAAAGTGATACACGGAAAGCAGAAGTGAGGTGCAGAAACAGCCGGAGTGGTTACAGCTTGGCATTGGCCTAATTTGAACAGTTGATCCCCTTTGGCCAAAACTTGGTGACTGGCACAAGAGTATGTTACAGGCTGTTCATACCTCCATTTAGGCTGTAGTTCACTATGTACAGAGAAACCTTTGGGCTGAACCTAAAATATGTAAGGAGGCAGCTTTAGGTGAAACTTAATATAAAACGTAAAAGGAAGCAAATGGAAATGGATCCCAAAAATTCAGATTCAAGGTAAAAAGAAAAAAAAAAGTTCTTAAAACATGGGAAGAGAAAGGGCTGATGACATGTATTTCCCATATTTCTGTTTTAAGAGACAGGGTCTTACTGTCACCCAGGCCGTAGTGGCAAGAAAATAGCTCACTGCAGCCTCAAACTCTTGGGCTCAAGCGATCCTCCCACCTCAGCTTCTGGAGTAGCTGTACTATAGGCACACACTATTATGCCCAGCTAATTTTTCTTTTTAATTTTTTGTAGAGATGGGTCTTGCTGTGTTGTCCAGTTTTCAGACTCCTAGCCTCAAACAATCCTCCCACCTCAGCCTCCCAAAGTGTTAGCATTACAGGCATGAACCACCACGGCCAGTTCTGCTAATTTTTTAGGATGAGCATGTATTCATACATAACTTGGTTATTATAAATAAGGAATATCCAAGAGAGTTAATGAATGTTCAGTGATTCTATTGGATAAGTAACAACATTTTGTTTTTTGCTTATGAACTTCAAAACAACAATTAGAACAGTGATACTTTGGTACTAGTATACTCGGTAACTAGTGGTCCAGCATCAGCATTGGCAGAAGGAATCAATTCTTCTGCCTTGAGAAACTAAATGAGACCAAGCTTCTTTTCAACTGAGAATTTGGTTCTTGTTCTTCAAAGTTTACAGAGTAAATATATAGATTGATATAACTAAATACATGGGTTACATACTCTTGTTTGCCTGCAAGGAATATTCATTTATATGAATAATTGAATTGAATAAATGAATGTTCTTTATATGAGATCTTTGTTTAGGTTTTATTGTTCCATATGCTACTTGTTGGTGTTTTTGACACCGTGTAACTTATGGATTTGTGTATTATTTATAGTCACTGATTTTTTCTTTAATTCTAAAAGTAATAGCTAGCTGCTCTTTGAAAATCACCCAAATTACCACCAATTAGAGACAACCAACATTTTGGGAAATTTCTGCCATTTTTAAACATAGTTATGTGAGTGTTTTCATATTTTACAGTTTTTAAACTATACCTACCATCTTGTAGCCTACCTTTTCTATTCCCCTATTCCCCCTTCTTTTATAACATTTTCCATTATATTAAAAACTTAATGTTTTCAGAGGCAAACAGCCTGTTATATTGAAGATTCTTAGAAATGTAAAGATATGACCAGGTGTGGTGGCTCACGCCTGTAATCCCAGCACTTTGGGAGGCCGAGGTGGGTGGATCACCTGAGGTCAGGAGATCAAGACCATCCTGGCCTACACGGTGAAACCCCGTCTCTACTAGAAATACAAAAATTAGCCGGGCGCGATAGTGGGCGCCTGTAGTCCCAGCTACTCAGGAGGCTGAGGCAGGAGAATCGCGTGAACCCGGGAGGCGGAGGTTGCAGTGAGCCGAGATCACACCACGACACTCCAGCCTAGCGACAGAGCGAGACTCCGTCTCAAAAAAAAAAAAAAAAAAAAAAAAAAGATATGTGTTTCTTTTTTTTTTTTTTTTGAGGCGGAATCTCGCTCTGTGGCCCAGGCTGGAGCGCGGTGGCCGGATCTCAGCTCACTGCAAGCTCCGCCTTCCGGGTTCACGCCATTCTCCTGCCTCAGCCTCCTGAGTAGCTGGGACTACAGGTGCCCACTACCGCGCCCGGCTAGTTTTTTGTATTTTTAGTAGAGATGGGGTTTCACCGTGGTCTCGATCTCCTGACCTTGTGATCCGCCCGCCTCGGCCTCCCAAAGTGCTGGGATTACAGGCATGAGCCACCGCGCCTGGCCAAAGGTATGTGTTTCTAAGAAGCGAGTTGAGGGCCAGGCACAGTGGCTCAAGCATGTTATCCCAGCACTTTTGGAGGCTGAAGCAGGCGGATCACCTGAGGTCAGGACTCTGAGACCAGCTTGGCCAATGTGGTGAAACCCAGTCTCTACTAAAAATACAAAAATTAGCTGGTCATGCTAGCACACGCCTGTAATCCCAGCTACCTGGGAGGCTGAGGCAGGAGAATCACTTGAACCTGGGAGGCGGAAGTTGCAGTGAGCTGAGATTGCACCACTGCACTCCAGCCTGGGTGGCAGAGCGAGACTCCATCTCAGAAAAAAAAAAAGAAGACAGTTGATATAAAAGTGTACATGATGACATCTCTATACCAGAATAGTAAGGAATTTAACTGTGGGCTTTTTCCCAATAGTAGAGATTTAAAATGTAGTGAACAGACAACATTTCTGGCATAAAGAAGAAGTTATCATATCCTTTCTCCTGGCATGAAGCATCATTTTCATTACTTTTGTGAAGACTGTAGAGCCTTGCATTGTTTTGATGCTATCTGCCTTTTTCAGTTTTTTTCAAGAATTAAGAAATATTTACACCAGACGCAGTGGCTCACGGCTGTAATCCCAGCACTTTGGGAGGCCGAGGCGGACAATCACCTGAGGGTCAGGAGTTCGAGACTAGCCTGACCAACGTGGTGAAACCCCGTCACTACTAAAAATACAAAAATTAGCCAGCCATGGTGACGTGTGCCTCTAATCCCTGCTACTCAGGAGGCTGAGGCAGGAAAATCACTTAAACCTGGGAGGCGGAGGTTGCGGTGTGCTGAGATCGTGCCACTGCACTCCAGCCTGGGTGACAGAGGGAGACGCCATCTCAAAAAAAAAGAGAAAAGAAGTATTTAGATTTGACTTTTACTTCCTCTTCTGTTTTTCACTAAAATATCAATACTCAACCATTTAAGTTTTGTCCTGGCATTAGACCAAAATACCTGAAGCGTGGAAATGAAATACACTCTGATAAATCAGTCAAGCAGCAAACCAGACAACCTTCAGTATAAATAGCTTTATTATGTTGGGTACATACCATCTGCCTTTCAAAGCATTCAAACTTTAGTAAACTTTTCTTTCAGGTATTTGGCACCTAAATCTCCGTTTGGGTCAGCCTCACACTCTGAAGCTGTACAAGAAGTCAGGAAAAACTCCGTATCTAAGGTATGTTGATACTGAAGATGTTCTGAGTTTTGCTAGTTTATTAATGGTATAGATTACTGATATCCATAGTTTTTCTACCTTTTAGCAAAAGCCACTATAGTTAATCAGACACCCTTTCTGAGTCCTCTTAGGTTCACCTAGAGAAAAAGCACTTTTTCTCTAAAGGAAACTACAATTTTTAAAATAAACATACTATAAAAAGCAAATCTACCTTAAAAAGCAAAGTTTTTTTCAAATGGGCTAGAGAGTAAATAATTTCGCCTTTGCAGTTAGTATGGTCTGTGTCATCGCTTCTCAGCTATGCTGGTGTAGTGTGAAAGCATCTACAGATAATATGTAAACACATTAGCTTGAATGCATTCCAGTAAAACTGTTTACAAAAACAGTCAGGAGGCTGGATTTGGTCCATGAGCCATAGACTACTGATCCTTGACCTACGTGATCCAGACTCACAAAACTGAATAACTCATACCTGGCACCAGCTTCACTTAGAATATTACAAGATGGAGCCAGAACGCAGTGGCTCGCGCCCGTAATCCCAGCATTTTAGGAGACTCAGGCAGGTGGGTCACCTGAGGTTGGGAGTTCAAGACCAGCGTGACCAATATGGAGAAACCCCGTCTCTACTAAAAATACAAAATTAGCCAGGCATGGTGGTGCATTCCTGTAATCCCAGCTACTCAGGAAGCTGAGGCAGGAGAAATGCTTGAACCCAGGAAGTGGAGGTTGCAGTGAGCCAAGATCGTGCTATTGCATTCCAGCCTGGGCAATGAGCAAAACTCCGTTTCAAAAAAAAAAGAATATTACAAGATGGGAGGCTAAGCACAGTGGCTCATGCCTGTAATCCCAACACTTTGGGAGGCTGAGGTGGGTGGAAAGTTGGGAGTTTGAGACCAGCCTGGCCCATGTGGTGAAATCCCATCTCTACTAAAAATACAAAAAAAAAAAAAAAAAAATTAGCCAGGTGTGACGCATACCTGTAGTCCCTGCTACTCAGCAGGCTGAGGTAGGAGAATCGCTTGAACCCGGGAGGCGGAGGCTGCAGTGAGCCGAGATCGTGCCATTGCATGCCAGCCTGGCTGACAGAGCGAGACTCTACCTCAGAAAAAAAAAAAAAGAAGAATATTACAAGATGAGGAAAAGTGTGCTAGTAAGGCAGCATCAGGCATCTGTGTTCAGCAGGAGGCCTCAGCAGCAGAGCTCCAAGGTGACAGCCTGGAAGAAGGCCACACAAGTGAGTGTATTAATACTTGGAGGCCGCGTACCCTGTAAGGGTCAATTATTCCTTCTAACAGTGGCTGTAGCTTCCGGGGTCTTGGTAAGAAACACACCCAGTCAAGTTACTTATACAAGTAACTCATAGAAGTCCCAAGCTTTGTCTTCCAAACACTAAGTGGTTTTTTTTTTTTTTAGCTTGTTTGTTTTGTTTTGTTTTGTTTTTTGAGAGAATCTCTCGCCCAGGCTGGAGTGCGGTGCATGCCCAGTGCATCCTCAGCTTCCCCAGCAGCCAGGACTACAGGTGCCGCCCCCACACCCGGCTTATTTCTGTATTTTTAGTAGAGACGAGGTTTCATCATGTTGGCCAGGCTGGTCTCAAACTCCTGACCTCAGGTGAGCTGCCCGCCTCGGCCTCCCGAAGTGGTGGGATTACAGGCGTGAGCCACCGTGCCCGGCCATGTTACAGATATCTTTAAATATCATTTATACATATCTCTACGTTGATATTAGACTGCAGTTACGCCTTGTGGCAAAACAGAGAGTGGGTGTACTACCTCAGGGATGACACAGATAATTAGATATTATGAGTTACTAGACTGGCTGGTAGATCTTATTATTTAGTGGATTAATGCACATTATTACATCACTTTTTTTAAACCTTTTAATGATTGTGTTACAATATAAATTGTTCCTTTTGTAAAGCTACTATATATCTTAATTTTTTAGTTAAAAACATTATTCTCAGAAGTGGTCTGTAAGCTTCACCTAAATGCCAAAAGGAGGGTCCACAGTACAGAAAAGGGTTAAAAACCCCTGTGCTGGCGGACCTTTGTGAGGTGAAAGGAGGTCAGGTCCTGATACCAGCTATTGGCCATATTTGGAATCTAGTCTATGGGTTTTAATCTGTAGGTTTTCATGGGAGTGAAAATGAAGTAATAGCTTAATCGAAATTTGCCCATGAAATAAAAATTCTATTAAGAATAAATATACACCTACTTGGGAGACTGAGGCAGGAGAATCACTTGAACCTGGTAGGTGGAGGTTGCAGTGAGCTGAGATCGTGCCACTGCACTCCAGCCTGGGCAACAGAGCAAGACTCTGTCTGGAAAAAAAAGAAAAGAAAGAAATATCCCTTATTAGTAATAATAGTGCATAGTGACAGTTCCGCTCTAGTATCGGTGTAATTAGACTTACATCTCACGATTTGATATTTTCCCCTAGGTCACTCAGTCTTTTTCTGTTTTCTGCAGGACATTGACAGTAGTGATATGAAAAGCCCAACAGGGCAAGACACAGAAATGGAAGATATGCCGACACTTTCTCCACAGATACCCCTTGGAACTGGAGAACAAGGTGCAGATTCTTCAGCAGAGTCCCCTATGCCATGGTTATATTCCTGTGGTGCCGAATGGTACCACGAAGGAAACGTCAAAACAAGAGCAGGCAATCATGATAAAGAGTTCTGTGTCTTAAGTCACGAGGGACCTAAAACCAGAGTTCCCGACCCTAAAGAAGCTGCAGTCACGCCTTGTGGCAGAACGGAGAGTGGGTGTGCCCCCCCATCAGGGGTGACCCAGACAAATGGAGACAACACAGGTGAGGCAGAAAACGAAGAGCTGGGCCTACTGATCAGTAAGGATATTTCCAAAAGAAAAAACCAAGAATCTTCCTTTGAAGCAGTCGAGGATCCGTACTTTCCTGCAAAAAGAAGAAAAACGTCTCCCGAATGTTCCCCAGATCAAGAGGAAACAGAAATAAACTTTACCCAGAAACTGATAGATCTGGAGCATCTGCTGTTTGAGAGACATAAACAAGAAGAACAGGACAGGTTGTTGGCGTTACAACTTCAGAAGGAGGTGGATAAAGAGCAGATGGTGCCAAACCGACAGAAAGGATCCCCAGATGGGTATCACCTCCGCGCTCCGTCCTCCCCTCCAGACAGAGTGCCAAATGGACAGAGGAAGAATCCCAAAGACAGGAACTCCAAAAGGCAAACTCATACAGAGCATCCAAAACCGCAGAGAGGCTCCAGGGACGAAAACAGGCACCTGTCTTTAAAGATGCAGTTGAAGCATTCAGTGAATGGAAGAAAGATGCCAAATTCTTCTAGAGATCAGTGTAATGTATCCAAAAGTGCTCATTCCCTACAGCCTAGCATTTCACAGAAAAGTATTTTTCAGATGTTTCAGAGGTCCACAAAGTAATGCCTGGTAAAGGGAGTGCTTTGTGATCTAGTAAAGCTGGAGTGTGAAGCTCTTTTCTATCATGGAATCTTTATCCACATGTTACTCATGCTGCTCTCGGGGCACACGCATTGTCCTTAATAAAGGTCTGTGTGGTGGTGAGGGCTGCATAGACACATGTGCTTCTGCACAGCTCAGCGGTAAGCGGGGGTCCCCTGTCATTTCCTTAATAATGGATATGTATTAAGTTTTACAATTCTTATAGATAGCTTAAGCTTTGGCCAACTCCAGGAAGTCTCCAAGTGCCACTGTCTTTCCAAAAAATGCATGTTTTATGGCCTTTGCTCACCTTTTCGTCATGACTGGTAATCAAAGCAATATTGTACTATTCTAATTAATTAAGGAACCCATTCAGGTTTAAAATGTATTTTCTTGCTATTGTCCCATGTTTTATAGAGTACTCAAAAGGTATTTTCCTAAAGTAATCTAATTTCCATCTCCAGTTTAATTTAGTTTTCGGCATTGTAGCATTTCCTTTGGTGTTTTTTTTGTTTTGTTTTGTTTTGTTTGACGGAGTTTCAAAATTTGGATTCATCTTCATATGTGGGAAATCCCAGATATTTCTCTTTTTTTTTCCTTTTTTTTTTTTCTTTTTTTTCTTTTTTCTTTTGAGATAGAGTCTTGCTCTGTGGCCCAGGCTGGAGTGCAGTGGCGTGATCTCAGCTTACTGCAACCTCTGCCTCCCGGGTTCAAGTGATTTGCCTATCTCAACCTCCCGAGTAGCTGGGATCACAGGCATGTGCCACCCTGCCCAGCTTTTTTTTTTTTTTTTTTTTTGTATTTTTGTATTTTTAGTAGAGATGGGATTTCACCATGTTGGCCAGGCTGGTCTTGAACTCCTGACCTTAGGTGATCCGCCTGCTTCAGCCTCCCAGAGTGCTGGGATTATAGGCATGAGCCACCACGCCTGGCCTGTTTCCTTTGGTTTAAAGTGGATTCGAATCAGTGTTAAATCAGAAAATCACGGTTTTTGGGAATTAGTTGCCAGAAAGGAAACTGGACTACGCAGAAGGAGTTAAGAGCTGGGATGAGGCTGGATGGGGTGACTGACAGTCTGGATCATTGAACCTGATTGGGTGGGCAGAGTCTGGTCCGGATGAGGATGAGGCTGGATGTGTGCCACCCTGCCCAGCTTTTTTTTTTTTTTTTTTGTATTTTTGTATTTTTAGTAGAGATGGGATTTCACTCATGTTGGCTGTAGGCTGGTCTTGAACTCCTGACCTTAGGTGATCCGTCACTTCAGCCTCCCAGAGTGCTGGGATATAGGCAGAGCTGCCACCACGCCTGGCTGTTTCTTTGGTTTAAAGTGATTCGAATCATTGGGTGTTAAATCAGAAAATCAATGCTTTGGGGAATTAGTTGCCAGAAAGGAAACTGACTACGAGAAGGAGTTGTTGCTAAGAGCTGGATGAGGCTGGATGGGGTGACTGGACAGTCTGGATCATTGAACCTGATTGGGTAGCAGAGTTCAACTGATGAGGATGAGAGGCTGGATGGGGGTGACGCGGCCCGATCATTGAAACTGCAGTCAGAGTCTGGTCCGGATGAGGATGAGGCTGGATGGGGGCACTGGCAGTCCGATCACGAAACTGGGTAGTCAGAGTCTGGTCCGATGAGGATGAGGCTGGATGGGGTGACCGACAGTCCGGATCATTGAAACTGATTGGGTGGGCAGAGTCTGGTCCGGATGAGGATGAGAGGCTGGATGGGGGACTGACAGTCTGACTACGGAAACCGGGTAGTCAGAGCGTCTGGTCCGATGAGGATGAGGTTGGGGCTGGATGGGGGCACTGACAGCTCGATCACGAAACCGGGTAGTCAGAGTCTGGTCCGATGAGGATGCGAGGCTGGATGGGGACCGATGTTGTAGTCCACCATTGAAACTGATTGTGGGCAGAGAGTCTGGTCCGGATGAGGATGAGAGGCTGATGGGGACTGACAGTCGAATACATTGAAACTGGTCCAGAATGGCGCAGCAGGGGCCGTTTGGCAGAGCATCCTCTTCCCCGTCCTTTGTGAAAGAACACAGGAAACATTGGGGTTTTGTAGCTTTTCACCCCCTACTATCAGGCATCAAAATCAAAATTAGCTACTAAATTGTGTGAATTTTTGGAAACCTGCTTTTCTATTCATCTGCTATTCCAGAGAAAAATGGGAGTGTATTACAGCAGAGTTACCTCACAGTATCTTGTGTTGTGGAGCCTGAAACAACCATGTGTTTTCTTACATGTTCGTGTTGATACTCCCTTTATTTGAGTTTATGAACAGAAATAGAAAGTATGGTGCTTGGGTTTTGCCCTTTCTTAACTCGTGACAGTTAAATCAGAAGACACTAATTTCATTTTGTGAAATTTAGCTCAGAGATGATTGATCTTTTGTTTCATTAACGTGAACAACGATTAGTAAAACAACAGCTTTAACAGCATTTCTGCTGATATCTCGTAATCTATTCTTTAATGTGAAAATACAATAAAATGTCCTAGAGCTAATTCTAGCTTAAATTTGCTGATATTTCTGTATGTCATTAGGTTTTTTTCCCCTAAGTTTGGTAATAGAAATTTTGTTAATCTTTGCATACTTGATGGCATCTATATCAATGTTGATTGGGTAATTATAAATTCTGTGCTAATTTAAAACTTCATTTGCCTCTTAAGGTGATTGCCCTCTGAGTAATGATTGTAGTTAAATGAAGTGTAGTTTGCAACTATTACTATCACATTGGTTGTTAAGTAAAAATAAACCCAATTTGGCTAAGACAGACCAAGATCGATCTTCTCATCAAATCAATATTTCTCTAAGAGCAATTTCACTTTAAGTTTTAGGGTGGACATTCTTGGAATGCCTCAAATTAAAAGTTATCTATTTAATCTTTCTGGAATAGTCTGTGACCAAAAAGGAGGGTGTGGTATATTTAGGTGTAAATATATCACATACATGGTATGATATATTTAGTATTTATATATTCAGCTAATTCTCTGTGAAGAAGTCTTCCTGACTAAAATTGGTTTCAAAATAAACTAATTTCTCTGTTAGTATTTCTACTGTGCCTACCATGTATGACTTTTTGTTAGAAACTAATAAATGCATCAGTCACTAGCATGTACTGGTTCTTTTTCCTCTCATTTTTGTGGAAAGGATATGCAAACATTGAATTTCTCAGGGAGTACTAAGGCTGTGCAGAGGCTGAGAATCTGAAAAATAAAATATTAAAAATAAAAATGGATTATTATGTGTATTTTACCATAACTTAAAAATATATAAAAATCAGCTACATAAAAATTAAAAGTTCTGCATAACAAAAACTACCATCAAGGGAAATTGGAAGCTGTGGCAAACTTGGGAAGAAATAGTTGCAATTCATCACAAAGAGCTAATTTCCTTTATGTAAAGTATCTGCCAGTTCATTAAGAAAAGACCGATATGCCGGGCGCGGTGGCTCAAGCCTGTAATCCCAGCACTTTGGGAGGCCGAGACGGGCGGATCACGAGGTCAGGAGATCGAAACCATCCTGGCTAACACAGTGAAACCCCGTCTCTACTAAAAAATACAAAAACCTAGCCGGGCGAGGTGGCGGGCGCCTGTAGTCCCAGCTACTCGGGAGGCTGAGGCAGGAGAATGGCGTAAACCCGGGAGGCGGAGCTTGCAGTGAGCTGAGATCCGGCCACTGCACTCCAGCCTGGGCGACAGAGCCAGACTCTGTCTCAAAAAAAAAAAAAAAAAAAAAAGAAAAGACCGATAACTCGGCCGGGCGCGGTGGCTCACGCCTGTAATCCCAGCACTTTGGGAGGCCGAGGTGGGGAGATCACCTGAGGTCAGGAGTTCAAGACCAGCCTGGCCAACATGGTGAAATCCTGTCTCTACTAAAAATACAAAAATTAGCTGGGCGTGGTGGCGCATGCCTGTAATCCCAGCTACTCGGGAGGCTGAGGCACGAGAATTGCTTGAACCTGGGAGGCGGAGGTTGCAGTGAGCCAAGATCGTGCCACTGCATTCCAACCTGGGCCACAGAGCGAGACTCCATCTCAAAAAGAAAAAAAAAAAAGAAAAAGTCCTCAATAGGAAAACTAGAAATGCTTATGTTCCCAAGAAACATCATTCACAAGAAAGTAACTATAACTGGTTCTTAAATATTAGGTGAAAAGATGCATAATATTACACGAATACTCATAAGTTTGTTCATCCTTAAGATTAGCGAAGATAAGCCAGTTTTTTGTTTTTAATCTTGGCAAGAGTGCGAGGAACTAGGCATTCTTATACATTGCTTGGTATGAATAGATCATTGAAAATCCCTGTGGAGGTAAGTTTGACAATTCTAGGAATTTCTTATTTATTTATTTATTTATTTATTTATTTATTTATTTATTTATTTTGAGACGGAGTCTCACTCTGTCGCCCAGGCTGGAGTGCTGTGGCCAGATCTCGGCTCACTGCAAGCTCCGCCTCCCGGGTTCACGCCATTCTCCTGCCTCAGCCTCCCGAGTAGCTGGGACTACAGGCGCCCGCCACCTCGCCTGGCTAATTTTTTGTATTTTTTTTTAGTAGAGACGGGGTTTCACCGTGTTAGCCAGGATGGTCTCGATCTCCTGACCTCGTGATCCGCCCGTCTCGGCCTCCCGAAGTGCTGGGATTACAGGCTTGAGCCACCGCGCCCGGCCAGACAATTCTAGGAATTTCTTAAGGCTGTCTTCACATGTATGCCAAATGACATGTACAAGAAATTTTTGGCTGGGCATGGTTGCTCATGCCTGTCTCAAAAAAAGTAAAAATAAGCCGGGCATGGTGACATGTGCCTCAAAAAAAAAAAAGGTCGGAAGGCCGGGCACAGTGGCTCATGCCTTGTAATCCCAACAACTTTGGGAGGCTGAGGTGGGCGGATCAACTGAGGTCAGGAGTTCCAGACCAGCCTGGCCAACATGGAGAAATCCCATCTCTACTAAAAGTACAAAAATTAGGTGGGTGTGGTGGTGGGTGCCTGTAGTCCCAGCTACTTGGGAGGCTGAGGCACGAAAATCACTTGAACCCAGGAGGTGGAGGTTGCAGTGAGCCGAGAGATATGCCACTGCACTCCAGCCTGGGCAACAGAGCAAGACTCCATCTCAAAA